TATTGTTGTTATAATGTCATTCCTTTCTAGCATATCGTGTTTTAAAGAAAAATAAAAATTAAAAAAATAAAACGAACATACTATAATAGGTTCGACTTTAGACTTGTTTTTCTCACAATCAATTCTGTAACAGAATGAAATATAGTAACGAGCTCTGGAAAATTAAGCGTCGTAATTAAAAATAAAATATTAATGATAGAATTTCTGAAACTGCTGCTCCTAGCTTTTATCATCTCTGTATTCTTTCATTGCTCATTCTTTATTTCTTTCTTTTTTTTATCATTTACATACATCTTTTTCAATATCTGCTTTTTCAGATAAATCTTTTCCTTCGATCCATGCCGCCCTTTTTTGTGAAATTTCATTGTAAAACTTTTATTTTTTTGTGAAGGAAGAGGGGATATTGCTCTTGGGGGTTTATTTAATATTTTTGTCATTCTCCTTCGTGCTTCGTTGTCATTTAGTACGGGTGCTACGCCAAAAGCGAAATACTGCTCTTGCCTTCTTATTTCAGTTTCGTCTTTCAGAAAATAAATAAAATCAAACATCAATCTACTCTTAGAGAAGTATCTTTTCGAAAATAATTCATTCCACTTTGCGACCTCAATAAAAAGCAAAGTTAACCACGTCTGGAAAGATGTTGAAACAAATTGTCAATAAAAAGGAGTAGAAAAAGTCATTGAAGAATATATCAGATGATATTAAAGAAATAAAAAATCCTTTTACTTAATTAAATTGTTGAAAAAAAAGTTTGTATTTAATTTTACTACGCTTAAATTTAGTCTATTTAAAGATTCCTTATAGGAAATTAATTGTCATAGAACTCGTCAAACAATTATTTAAAAAATAGACGGAAGTTAATAAAAATAAACGTTTTTATGCGCTTGATGTGCGTGCACTTCCAGGAACTAAGAAGTGTTGAGGATGGGGTGACAAATGACAAAATGAGGCAGTGGGTAGGGAGTGACAAATGCTGGTAATTTATTGGTGGTTATCTTATTTTATTTAGTCGCCACGTGGCGAGTGGCAACAGCTAATCTTGTTCTTTATTCTAAGATTGAGCAAAATTTGCAATTAGACAAATAGAACAAGGACTCACTCTTCTTTAACCCACTCGATAACAACAAATTTATCAGGGAAACAAAATAAACAACAAGAATCAGAAAATAAAAATTATCACTGGTAAGAACCTATTCAATGCCATCGCAGAGAACATATTGAAAAACCACTTTTAAGTTTATGAAAATTCGTAAATCGATTCCTTGGAAATTCGCTTTATCGCAAATTATGTTAAAAGCAGAATAAAAATTTACAAATTACATCAAATTTCTAAAATTCATGAAAAAACAAATAATTATGGAAATGGAACAAAACTGAATGCAAAAAAATACTTAATAATGTAGTTTTTAAATGTATGAAAAATTATATTACTCAAACTTTATTTGCTCACTACAACTCAAATTCCATGTTCCATTTTTGGAACATTGTCGTGTAAATGGATATGGATTAAATTGCGATTTGCGATAACAAATATATAATGGGAAATATTTTGAGAAGAAGTTTTTAAAATAAGTTTCGCTGTTTTCTTAAATAAATACTTAATTCAGAAAAAATTAAAAATGACATTACGAATAACCTGGGAACTCAAATTTCATTCTAATGTTTGTACGTATCTGATAATAAAATAGGGTTTAATCATCTCTCGATCGCTTCTGATAGAATTTTTCTTTTTTTGTAACCAAATAGAATTTAATCGACAAGAAAAATTTGAACTGCTTCCTTATAGAGAGCTCAAATTTTGAATTGCGCAAACATTTAGCATACCAACTTCAATCGTAATGACAATACAAGGTTAAATTTTTTCCTAACTATTCAAGAGGCATTCATCATCATTTTATCTCTAAATTTAATCTATCGTAAATAAAGATTTTGACATTTTTTCGAATAGTTGAAAGGCTCAAATTCTAACTGCATCTCTGGGCTTGACAATAATCTACTGAGCTCAATTGTCTTTTAACTGCTTCATTTTTTGACGTTATAGCATCAAATACATTTTATTGTGGTCAATCTAAATTCCATAGCAAGTGAGTTTAAATTTCAAATTCATTTCTTTGCCTGAAAAAATGCAAGGTTCAATCATAGCTTGGATGCAGAATATACTGAAATTGTATCGCCAGTTAGAATTTATCGTCCATCAAATTTCTGACCACTTTCCGTATAACAAGAGGGATGAAATTTCAATCGTGCATCTTTGCCCGATGAAAATTCAGGATTCAATCTTCTTCTGACTGTTTCAAGCAAAAAGTTTTGTCATTTTATTTTGAAATAGAATATATGATCGTTCTATTGCAAAATTACATTTATTGTATGAAATCTGTATATAATTTCGGTCATCTTACTTCATATTTTGATTTATTCTTTATTTTCATGACATTATAATGGCTAATGTATCACGGATTTTATAAAATTATACAATCTTTTTATGGTTTATTTTGTGTAAATGTCAGTGATCAATATAAAAATATTCGCCGAAGAGCCATTACATTATGACCACCCTCCATCTATAACAATGGGCTCACCCCGGTTTTTATGGCTTCTCGCCCAGGAATAATATTTTCATGGGGCACATTAGGACCCATAATCCTCATAGGACAATCCCTGTCGTCTGTTAGCTACTTGAACATAGTTACAGACCAGGTTCACCCATTCATGGCAACAGTTTTTCCTGCGGGGGAAGGTGTTTACCAATAGGATAATGCGCCATATCATAAGGGTCGAATCGTCGAGGAACATTCCAGTGATTTTCAAGTCATGTCTTGGTCCCAAATTCATCTGACCTTTATCCAATACAACATTTGTGGTCCTACTTGGAAATCGATATTGGTGCTGCCACGCTACCCCCTGGCAATGAGAGGGAATTGCAGGACCAGTTGGCGAGCGCTGGTACCAGATACCTCAGACTACCTAGCATCACCTTGTGTAATCATTTTCACGGCAGGTGCTGACAGTTTTGAGGGCTAAAGGTTATTAGCAGGGTGGTCATAATGTTATGGCTCTTCGGTGTATATTGTTGTTAAAGTCGTTAGATATTGTTGTTATAATGTCATTCTTAAATGTGATTTTTCAGATAGTTATATTTGTGCTTGTATCAAACCTATTTTTTTTTAATTATTAGAGTATTAAAAAGTGATGATATTAGAGTATTAAAAAGCGATCTTTCGATTTAAAATAAAATGAACTAGATGCTAAGCATTATGTTTTTGGATTATTATTTTTTCTTCTGAAACCTAATTTCTTCTGAGATTTGTTAGCTATAGTCCGTTAGTAATAAATTATCGCTTTAAAGTTTTGATGCTTTGGGGAGGGGGTGATAAATTTCTATTGAAATAAAGCAATCTGTGATAAAAAAAACAAGATGTCAAAAGTATCTTACATTCCCAAATAATAGAAATAGTACATTTTTACTGCCGGAATTTAATTTACTGCTTAATTTATTGTAGTGCTATTTAATGGTTCTTTGAAACCAAAACAATTTTTCTAATTTTCGTATTTGTATAGATTAACAAGATATTCAGTGAGTATATTATTTGATGACGCAAAAGTTTATCATTGAAGCTTCATTAATTGCATGTAGCATCATTATTACGTTGATAAGAATATTTTAAAATATATACTTTTCACATTTTCTTTATTGTTATAGCTGATGCATTCGGGTATTATTTCATTGAACATACTGCTTAATTTATTGTAGTGCTATTTAATGGTTCTTTGAAACCAAAACAATTTTTCTAATTTTCGTATTTGTATAGATTAACAAGATATTCAGTGAGTATATTATTTGATGACGCAAACGTTTATCATTGAAGCTTCATTAATTCCATGTAGCATCATTATTACGTTGATAAGAATATTTTAAAATATATACTTTTCACATTTTCTTTATTGTTATAGCTGATGCATTCGGGTATTATTTCATTTTCTTTACTTTGAGATATTTTAAGATTATCAAATGTCTGACATTCTTCTAATTAATTTTATATCTCACAGATATCAACTGGTTTTACAGCAAGTGTTGTTGCTATAGTCTGTGTCTCGGTATTTGGAATAGTTTGCCTGATCCAATGGAAAAAATATCGGAATTCTCCGGATCAGAACGTTGGAATTTCACCTTTGCTTTTTCTGTGTTTTCTACGTCGAAGAAGGAGAATTTTGAGGGAAAGAATCCCCTTAAACTCTTCTCAGATGGTTGAAAACCCTAATTATTCGAAAGAAAACAACAAAACATTCACTACAGGTAAGCTGAAATTATTTTAAAAAAAATGTTTACACTTTTTTTTTTCTCCAATGGCAGCACTGAATTTTAATCTTTGCCTATGAAGACGCCGGAATTGTTGCTCATTTAGCGTTACCCAGTGGGCACCTGTGTACCAAAGTCACGGAAGCGAGCAGCATTGCCCACGCCACACCGCCACAGACCCGTTTATAGGGTGGGCAACATTCACACATCACACACACACGCACAACAGTGGCAGCACAAAGAGAGAGAGAAACATCCATGCCCAGAGCGTAATTCGAATCCACAGCCAAAGGTTTCGCAGTCAGGGGCGTTAACCGCTCTACCACCTGGCCGGCAAAATGGTTACACTAGAAAGGCTAAATTTTTAAAAAAAAATTTTACACTAGAAAGGCTAAATTTTTACAAAAATCTCTTTTCGACTAAAGCAGGCACAATTCTTCTTGAATTTTATTGGATTCCTTCTTAAGAGGATGCTACATCACGTGAGAAACTTTTCATCGCAAATTCTATTTGATAGATTATCTAATTTTATCGCAAATTCTATATGATCAATCAAATTAAATCGTGTCAAACCTTGAACCAATATGATTATTAGCGCCACCCAATGGAGGAATTTCGCATTAAGAAAATGTAGTTCATTCCGGTAACAACAAGAACTATTGGAAGTGCTTGTGACCGTTTCAGACTTTCCAGCCAGGGACTACAAAATGAGTTTCGATTTCTTAGTTGATAAGTTATTTTTTTAAAACAATTTCATTGAAAAAAATAAAACATACTACTTCAAAACGGAATAAAAATAAGTACCAGGGTGTCATTTTACAGAAGATAAAATACAATTTTATAAATACTTTATTTCCGTAAGACCTGACAAATTGTAAATAAAGATGGGTTATAGTACACTAGCTTAGAACTCATTTGTTTTTTATTTTATCTATTATAGTTTAGTAATAAATTTATTAGTCATTATTTACCATTTTTTTCACACTTTTAACTTCTTCTTTTTTAAAATTCATATCCTCCAACAAGAAATGTTAACTATTTTTTCAATTTAAAGTAGCGGAATTCCCAGGAACTCCCAGGAAACTAAAAATAAAGAAAATTTTGAATAACTATTTTTTTTACTAACTTTGTGGAACATTACAATTTAATTAATGAGTTCGAAAATCGGTCATCTCAAACAGAAATAATTTTACCGGAGAGACAAAAAACTGAATAGTTAAGTATCAGTTTGACATATATATAGGGGTTATTTTTACAGCACAAAATATACTGTACCAAGTAGGTGGATATGAACTTTTTATATCCAAGCTATGTATTTACTTTAGCTAAACTTAAAAATGTGTGGAGATGATTGAATTTTTGATCTTATCGATTAAATCACACAAATATGCATTTCTGCATATATTTATGAATTTTTTTACACATCTCTATAATTTTATACTGTTTACAACAATTCTTAATTGAAATAGTTTTTAAAAGAAAAATATATAAATAAATTTGGGTATGTTTATAATCCTTTTATTTAAATAGCAGCTACATTTAACACCAGTAGTTACACATTTTAATTGCTACAAGCACTTGATGTTGAACCTGCTAGCTCTTTGAACTTAAAAAGTGGTCCTCTAGAAAGGGTTAAAGAATTCTTGCTTCATTAAGGGAAAATGTTTGTTGATGTAATTCGTGTTATGAAAAAAAATTATACATCAAGCTTTATTTTGAATACTGTAAAATGTATTAATGACTTTCGTCTGCCTATACCTATCAATCAAATTTTCCTTTGTTGCGATTTAAGGTGAGAATAATATTCAAAATAAATTGCAATGGCACTGTTTTTTCGAAATTTGAAGCAAATAATATCACTTGAAATGCTATTTTATTGTTTTTGTTTTTCTGTGTTGGTTTCAACCTGTTTGAAGAAAATTTAGCGTGTATCTCTTTCATGTATTACTTATTTAGTTTATTTCTTTTATAAATAATTTTTTAGGCCAGATGCTATTTAATTATGAATAGTTAATCTAAATTATTACTTTCTTTTATTTTAAGTACAATTATTTCCAATAGAATATCCAACATAGAATATCCAATTTTGGATGAAATCAACATTTTAAATAAATATTGAATACTCGAAACAAGATCTATTTTTCACTTTTCTTACATAAAAAAGATTTGGAAGAATCCTGTAATTGAATACTTTTTACAAGCAAACGACAAGATTCTCTTGGTTCTACTTTAAACTTTTGAAATAAACAAAGCCCTTCATATTTCAACAATGATAAAGAAAACAATAAATCTAGAGATGAGAAAGGAATTCTTTTCGCGAATATTCTTTTACACTAAAGGAATTTGTTCGTTGAAAAATAGAAATCTCAAATATTTAAACAAATAGAAATAGCGTCAAATAAAATATTTTTCAAGAGTAAATGTAATTTTATTTACACTAGCTTAAAATTTATAAACATTTGCCCGTATTTCTCACTTTACTTTAGCTCAAAAAATCGAACGGTTGCATTTCTTCTTAAAAATAAACATTTTTTTTTGCACTTTTTTTTGTATTTAATTCCTGTTAAGGCGCGTGAGGATGGATTCTTGTATCACAAACTTTCGACCATTTTTTGGTTAGCGAGAATGCTAAAATTTTTTTGAGGCTCTGCTTATCATGACATTACAAGTCTCCATCATTTTCTGATTTCTGCAAACAAAACGTATCACCATCCTCAAAGAGGAAACAAAACATCAGGATAAATGTCCCCATGGGGCCAAAATTTTGATTAATTAAACATTTTGACTTAAGAATGATTCTTAAATTTTAGCTGGAGTTAACTTGCAAACAATCGTTTCAAAGTCTCATAACTTCTTCAAACGAGATTCAAAAATTTCATCTCCCAAACAAAAGGTGATACAATGGTAAGCAGAAGAAAATAATGAATTAAAAAAAAATCATGAATTTGCATTTCAAGGCGAAAATATTTTTTTTCCCACAAAAAGGAAAAATGTCGGGCAGTCTACATTCGCAAAAACCTTCTTTCACTACAACTCACTGTTCGAAAATGAAGTATCCGAAATTATACGACCTAGGTATAAAAATGAAAAGTGGCGTGATTTTTTTTTTTTTTTTTTTTTTTTTTTTTTTNTTTTTTTTTTTTTTTTGTACTTTAAAAGCGCGTTTTTTACAAACTAAATAAAAAAAATTGAAAAGAACGTGAGAATGAGTGAAACGAAATTTTTATTAATTTATTATTGAAAATAATCAAAATTCTACATATAAAATATTTGATTCTGAGGAAAATATCCATATAATTTAAACCTTTTTCTTACTGAATTAAAATATTATATTTAATGATGGTTAATTTAAAATTTTATTTTCACAGTTGTTTAGGAAAATTGTCGCCGCATGTTCAAACAAATGGTGACATTAATTTCAGCTTTTTTTTTAAAAAACGTTTTCGCACTTATTTTCATGTTTGCTTTTAATATATTTAAATAATAAATTCTGCGCTTTATTTGTTTTTAAGATTTTTAAAGTGCTTAATAGGTATTTTTCTACACAAAATCTTATTTATAAAATGTATGATTATGAATTCATTCTATACCTGTTATAGTTGTTATATTTTTCTTCAGAAATCCCTCACATAGCAAGGGAAAAGATAAGCTTCATTCAAACTTTGGGCGAAGGAGCGTTTGGACGTGTTTTCCTCGGGACAGCGGATTACCTAACTCCGGATGAGCCGACAACTTTAGTTGCCGTCAAAACTTTAAAAGATTCAGATTTGGAGGATGCTAAAATAGACTTTGAAAGGGAAGCCGAACTATTGTCCAATTTGAAGCATAATAATATCATAAAATTTTATGGTGTTTCAGTTGACGGGGAAGCACTCATGATGTTGTTTGAATACATGGAGTATGGAGATTTGAACAATTTTTTGAGGTAAACAGTTTACAATCATTTTTAAAAAGCTTGCATTAAATGTCAGAAAAAGAACCTTACAAATTCAAGGCAATTTTTATCTATTTACGTTAAATTTAATAGCGTTAAATTTAACACAAAGTTTTGGTATCGAACAAAAGTTTTCTTTTATATTTTGCGGCACTACATTTCATCTTGTATTGTATTTTGAAGCCACTATCTATATGTATATTTCTCTTACACGGCGACAAAAAAAAGCCTCATTACAACTCCCCGAATGGCAACGCTGGAAAATCGACCAATGATTGCCGCTAAAAATGTCACATGCCAAATCTAGCTGAGGTGACTCAGCATATAGCGCTTTTAAAGTCGGAAACTGAAATAACCAGAGAGAGCATAAGCTAGGCAGAATTGCGTAGTCTTTGTCGATAGATCTCTATTTTAGTATTTTGTCGAAAGCGCTTTTTTCACGAATTTAGATATTACGAATTTATTTGACGATTTTTGATTTATATCACGAATTTATTTGTTTTATTATTATTATTAGTTATTCATTGAAAAATGAGTTTCAGTCGTGCTGTTACGCTTTAAGATTTTATACTATAGCACATTTCTGATAGGTTTAACGAATTTCATGTCATTTATTTGAGTTCAAATTTATTTTAATGACTTAGTACTTACTAAAAAGATGTAATTTTAAAAAAAAAAATTTTTTTTTGTATGGATTTGAATGATTGTTTTGAATTCTTAGAATTTTGTGTATTTGCAATGTACCTAAGTTAGTAGCGAGCGAAGCGAGCTTGGTTTGCGAAGCAAACCGTATAAGATTGCGTAGCAATTTTCGGGGGTTGGCGAGGGTTAGCGAGCATGGGGAGCAGTCCACTAGTATTATATACTACATCTTGTTAAGTTGTTAAAAAGAAGCATTTTCTAGTGCACAAAAGAAAAAAAAAGGATTACACCAGCTTTGATACTCCCGTGGTTCAGTTAATGAACTTACCGTTACAAAAATTTAATGTATTTTTGAGGTTGTTTTGAGGTGTCAAGGTTGATTTGAGATTTATTCGAAGTTGATTTCAAACACAACTTTAAATGATCAACTTCCCAAGTTGTATAATTAAAGTGTATGAAGTTGTTCTATTCACACTTGAGGTTGGTTTGACGTTGAGGGAAATCTACTTTAGAGCAACAAACTTAGGAAGGTTGTTTTTGAGGTGTACGGATTATTTTTTCTAAACTACAAGAAAATTCAAGTATATTTGAGATATATACATATAATTAAAATAAACTAAACTGAAATTATTTAACATACTAAAACTAAACTAATTTAGTTATAAACTAAACTAAAATTAGTTCTTAGTTATATATGAAGTTAATTTTGTGAGGTGTAAATGAAATTAAGGTTTATTAATGAGGTTATTTTTGATGCAAAACATAATCTTATTTTCTATCTCAGGTGTAAATTTTTTTACTTCTGTCAACCTCAAAAAACTTCAAAAACAACGTTTTTTTGTAAGAGCGTTGGTTCCTCGTCTGAGATCACGTTAGGTTCGTAACCCGATTCAACCAAAAAATTTTAGGTATTTTTTACCTTCTGGCTAGTTGGCGTTAATTTTCTTTATTAGCTTAGGGAATTTAATACACAGTAAGAGTACCTTATTAATAAGAATTTCTATTTTTAATGTAAGTAATTAGGATTTGATAAAGAAAATACTACCTTCCGAAAATCCCTAGTGCTTCGTTTAGCTGATAAATTAACAATGCACAAAATGTAGGAAGTAATCAAACCATTCAATTAAAGAACTGCAGATACGAAAAAAAATTTTAAAACTATTTCGTTTAACAAGTTTGCTGAAAAATGTTCAGAAACTAAATAAGAAATCCGGATGTGATGGTAATTGTCCATATCATTTTCAAAATGCTGTTCAGAATTTTATTTTCATTTCATATAAACCGTTGTTACAAATGTTTTAACGAAGTACTGAAAACTATTTTGAATTACTCTGAATATATCATGCAATAGACAGAATTTTTTCTCTTATCATTTATAGAGAAATTGTCTTTTATAAAAAATAGAAGTCAGAAATATATATAATAATAAATGTAATTAAAATTAATGATTATAATTAAATTTAATAATAAAAAACGCAAAAATACAGCGAAATTCCAATTAAGCATCTCAGAGTTTGTAAGAGACGTTTTCACTGGAGTGCAGGTTAACCTCCTCTCACTTAGTAAGGTATCCTTCACTCTAGTGTTTAATAGGATACCTAGTTTTTCTATTTATTTTATTTTGGAAGCAAAGTATATTAAACGGAAAAAGTGGCCAATATACGTGGATATTAAATTTTCCCCCAAATCAAATCATATCTTCTGAGAGAAGTATTATCACGAAATTTTGAATTTTTGAGTAAAACGAACACGGCGAAATTCACTGGCTTGCGATCAAATATAGAATTTTTTGCTCATTGCAGGTGACACTATTCCATCACAGTACCAATACTTTACGTATTGAAGTATTACTTAGCAACTCTTATCTGACAACATATTTAAAATTACTTGCGATTGGTTTATTTTTGGGAGAGTTAACGCTATTTTTGTAATTATCCCTTTATTTATAATAACTTACTTACAGAACAAAATTATATGACATTACAAAGTATATAACTTACGTACCTTGGCTATGTGGCACAGAAAGGTGATGAAGAACAATTAAACCACTGTATGCAGAAAGGGCTTCAGTCCTTCTTACTACTTCTCGAAAAAGTTGGGGGAAAATACTATTTCCTGCTTTTCTATCAGTTAGAGGAATCTGAAAAATATTGCGGGTATAGTCTAGACATTGCATCACGAACATAGTTATTTTAAAATTTTTCGCACTGATTTGGTAAAGTAGGAAATATTTTTTTTAGGTTTTTTAAGAAAGTGATAGGTTGGTAGGTACTTTATTTACGTCCCACAAAAGCTGCACATAGGGCTATTGACGACAGTCTGCGAAATATCCCTGAAGATGAACCGAAGACATGCCATCACTGTTTTAATCCTCTGCTGAAGGGTTAACGCCCCCGCTTTGGTAGCTTGACGACCTGAGAGCGATGTCAGGCAATTGAAGGTTGACATAGTCGTCAGCTACCACCCCCCACATTGGTGACCTTCGAACGTGATGTGAACACGCCTACCTTAGCACAAACGCCCACTTCGATATGAATACGCCTACATCGACAGTAACGCCGACTTTGTTGGATGGTCCACATTGAACAGTTGACTTGCTACTTGTGTCTGCGACATTATCCACTTCCTCACGCTGTTGCTGCTCAGTTTCAATCAAACACAACGTATGCACTCGAATGCTAAAGGCAGCACAGGAGCGACTACGACCTTGAAGTTAATACACCTCTCACATTCAGCACTCGAAAAGTACGGTGATCTTAATACAGCTCTCCCAGCTCCGCACAAAAACAGCAATGTTTCAACTAGCGGTATTCATTCATCGAATTCTATCACAGCTATAATTCTGATGGGGGAGTACTGTAGGGTATCTACCACTACAAAATTACAATTACAATTCAGTAGTAGATAAGACATGTTAACTCGACTCTATGTCGGGGTACCTTTTCATAGATGACGGTTGACATTGTCCCCACATTGGTGAACCAAACGTGATCAGAAGGTTGACATGGTCGATAACAATTCGATTCCCACATTCGGTGGAATAGTTTAACGAGGATCGATACCACTCTCCCTCTGTCCCTACCCAGCCTGATCAAAGTTGTCACCTATCCGCTTACTAACTGCAGCCAGTGATGTTCGGCTTCAGTATTCTACCGGGAACCGTGTCCTTACTATCAGTGCACTTAGGTACTATGAAAAGTGATAAGTAGGGCTAAAATATTTTTATACTAACAGTGATTCAATTGAGGTTCCGAAAATTTCGGTGAATAAAAGTTCATCTATTACCTATTCGTCTAATTTATTCTTTCACTTGCTCCTTAGAAGTGAAGGTACAATAATAAATACTGGAATGGTTTCCAATAAAATCGTTTGTGTATAACCCTTCGCTTCAAAACTCAGTTGTGGAATGATATAGTGAATGGAACAAACTCTCAACCTTGTCTTGTCAAGTACCAAAAATTCCATTCAGTGCGTCTTGGTGATCAACAAGTAGAAAATCATTTATTCTAACAAAAACATTTTGCTGGAGTGAACATAAGAATGAACTTGGTCTGAAAATCCTCTGGTAGATATTTAAATCTATGATTGATTTTAAACACGTTAACATGCGCCCTCGCCCTGTCTTACTCCATTTTAAAAACTGTAACGAATTTCATTGTCTATAAGATTATTTTTTTCTGGATTGTAAATTGCTATATACGGTCTTAAAATGTTTATTACATTGGTCAACCAGTGACTTTGATCAAACTGCAGAACAGAAACAAGATCCTTTGGCATTTTCTTAGTTTACAGTCCTTATATATCCATAATAATTCCCTCTGGTTCTTATTGAGTTTCCTAAACTCATCACCTCTGAAGCGTAAAAGGTTTAAAGGAGGCCTGATAGCTTTTCAGAGATATATTGTTATGAATACATTAAGCTGTAAGAATAGAGCCTTAATAACAAGTTCTTTGTATATGCAAAGACATGTAATCCGATATAGATGGCTTTATCACGTCAAAGTATTTAGTAAGGAAATAAACATCCCTCTATAGTCCATTTAGACTACGTACTATTCCCACCCATACAAAAGATATTCTTCTCACCTGAATGACAAATTTCTGATGCCAAAATGCGGCGAATAGGGATTTAAAGCTTTTGAGAAGAAGAGGTTTGTAATTGCGTCATTCTATAGCTGAACTATAGGTGATTCTTTAGGAAGTCAATAAAGTGTTTATTACTGTATCTCCAGTTCTAAAGATACAATGGAAGAATAAATTAAATGAAGGGATCGTAGAAAACCTTTAATTTATCGGCAGAACCAGAATTGAATCAACGAAGCAGAAAAGGATTCATTCTCGTTTACTTTTTTCTTTTTTCAAAAATATATA